TTGTTTTGTTCGAAGTTATTTAGTCCCATTGTGTTTATAATTGCATATCATGTATGGTTAGATATGCTAGTTCACTATAAACATTGCTCTGATACCAACCTGTCACACCCCCGAACCAGACGACAGAAACATCTGAGGGCTCGTGTGACTAACAATTGAATAATCATCACAATGAATATACATGAAACATAACACATTCATCACCAACATTACATAATACAACCAACATTGTTCACATCAAGTACATTGTTAAAATACATAAGTTCTAATTGTTCAAAGTACGATAAGTGATGTTACATAAACAAAACCATACACACTTGCATATCTTCCATCTTAACGATTACCTGAGAATACAAGTTATTTTGAAAACGGTCAACATATATAATGTTGGTGAGTTCATAAGTATATTTGAGTAAAAGTCTTTGTATCTTTCATAAAGATCCAGAAAATCCGATATTTTTTGTAAAATGTTTTGAAAATGATATGAAAATCGAGTATAAATGCGTGTGTGAATTTAATAGTAAAAAACTTGTATGACTATAGTTTAAGTTCATTGTATTTTGAATAAATAATTGTATATGAATAATCTCCCCAGAAAATCCGATATTTTCTGTTTTATAACATCGTTTAGATTTTTGTATCGTTAGATAAGTCGTTTTGCATTGACATAATTAGAAAATTTATCTTCAAAAGGTTATCTTTTGATATTGAATCCCTATATGAGCCATTATAACCATGCATGATAATGATTAGGTCGCCCGTCTTGGTATTTTTCCAAATGACGGTCTTCCTAAGGATGTTGTCGCCCTAGACTAGCCTAGTCTAACTGTAGCGAACAACTAAGGCGTGAGGGGTCATACCGTATAGATTTATACACAAACTCCTGCTTTCCTACCAGGAAACTCTGATTATAACTACAAGCTACGATTGTACACTCAGAGGTGCCAACCGACATGTCTCACTAGATTCTTAACCCCTTTTTGTTTTATGTTTAACGTTTACGTATATGTGGTATGTTTTTGTAATCGAAAGGTACATATAAAAGTATTCGACATTTAATGATTTCGCAAAGGTATAGTTACGGTCTATTAACATGTGAAATTTCCATTCCAAGCCCTATTAGCATGTAGTTAAGCCACAAAGGCCCAATAACATGTAAGAGGGTAATTTAGGCACAATAGGCATGTAAATGGGCCACAAAAGCCCAATAACATGTAATCCTATACTTAGGCCCAAATTAACATGTGAATGGGTCGCATGACCCAATAAACACATCATGGAAAACATTGGTCTCAATATACACTTAATTGGGCCCTTAGGGTCCAATGGCCAAGTAACGTGTATATTAGGCCCAATAAATAGTTATTGTGGTATTTTGTTCGTTTTTGTTTTGACTTGAAGTTCAATAGAATGGTGATAAAAATCATCTTTTTGTAAAAAAGACATTTTTGGCCAACAATTCACAAAATTTTAAATTAGGCCCAAAGTTTTGTATAAATGACACTTTAGTCCATAATTTATAAAAGTTTGCAATATTATCCCAAATGTCTATAAATTTACGGTTTTAACCTAAAATGTTATATTTCTACATTTTGAACCCTGTTTTGCAGAAAAATACATTTTCAGCCCTTGTTTGTAAAAGTTTACACTTTCGACTCGATTTTTGGAAAACTTTACATTTTTGGTCCAATTTGAAAAGAAATGATATTTTCACCTCTAAAATTGGTTTATTTACATTTATGACTCACTCTTTGTCCAAATAACAATTTAAACCTCAAAACTTCATTTTTTTTTTTTTTTTTGCAAATTGGGCCCAAACTGTGAGGCCTAAAAGTTTTAACCCATTAGGCTAACATTTGAATTTTTGGCCCTTTTAAAAGTATGTGTAGCATAAAAATACCTTTTTATACATGTAGGACCTGTTTGGCCCCTTTAAAAACATAATTTTCACTTTTTACCCTTATCTTTTGTTTTCTTGACAATTTTGACCTTTAACAAGGTTTTTGTTGGATTCTTTTACATCTTAAACATGTATTCACTTTTGGCTTGTTATTATAATGTATATCATGTCATAGTTCATATATATTTGTTTAAAGTTTCGAGATTTGCTAGGATCTAACCCATTATTACTAAACAAACTAAGAATTCACACAAAACATGCATATAACACATACATCTACACATTTTACTTGCATTCTCCCCCAAAAATCATATGAAAACCAAAAACAAGGGGGGTATGAACTCACCTTTGCTTTGATGCTTCAGTTTTGAAGAAGAAATGAAGAAGTTTTTGATCCTAGCAAGCTTTCTTGAGTAGATTTCGAACTTAAGAAGTTCTAGGATGCAAAATCACCATAAACTTTGCTTAAAAGAGTGATCTAACATAAGAATGGAGTTATAAACTTGGATGTATAAAGACTTACCAAGAAGTCATGATTGTCTTGTGAAAACCTTATTGAAACACAAGAAAATTTTGAGATTTTTGATGGAAGGAGTAGGATGATCCTTGAGAGTGTTTGAGAGAATTTGGTGTAGTGTGTGTGTGTGTTTGTTTGTTTGTCTTCAGCCGAGAATAGAAGAAGAGAGGGGAGAGAGAGGGGCGAGGTGACTAGCTTGGTTGCATAATGATTCAAAGCCTAGATGCATGTTGGATTTTATGGAGGTGGCACTCCAAAGTCAACTCTTCTCCTATTTCACTTATTTTACCTTTTTTTTTTATTTATACATGGGTTGATATTGTTGGGCCAAGAAGAAAGGGTAGAGTAGATTGGGCCCATTAACTTTAGCTAGGATATTTGGATCCTAAACATAAAAAATTCCGGCCAATTGGGCTCTCGGAAGCATTCATGACCCAATTAGAATAAAATAATGGGCTTATGGTTCACTAATGGTTAATTGGATTAGTTATGGCCCAATAAGGCTCATTAGGGTTAGAATGAATCATTCTAGACCCAAATGGTCCAAAATATTTTAGATTTATGAATTGGGTCCAATTTGGATCTAATTAGGCCTTCTAAGTCCAATAAGGTTGAATTGGGTGCTTATTGGTCCATTAGGCCCAATAAGAAAATTCTAGTCCAATATGGACTTAAACCGGGACTCCTAGAGTTTTCAAGCTCTTTGATGAACATCATTGATGAATCTATATGAGCATTGAGTGAGATTTACTTAGAGTATAAGATTTACAATAGTTGAATGGTTATACAGGAATAAAATTTCCTAGCTAAAATGCTAGTTGTGACATCCGCCATCTTCTCTGACGATTCTCCGACCAAACATGAATTTTTCGGCGACTTTGTCATCTCTAGAAACCAACGAGTTTGAAGGGTTCCAAATTCGTGGGTTTTCAAAGAAGGAGACCATGGCATATCTGAAGTTCTTGGTTGCAAAAACCCAAGGACTCATATTTCAATTTTGACAGAAGGAGGGTTGTGAAGATGAAGGGGCTGTGAAGTTTAAAACGAAAACCATCAGAAACCCAGATCTAGCACCATCAAAAATTCCAAATCTCGATTTCTTCGATTTCTTGTATGAACTCGATTTCAGATTTGTATGTTGGATTCGAGTTATGGGTTCATAAATCGAAACAGAAAACAAAATTTAATGATCTTCAAGGTATGTGTGAAGATTTGAACGATCTGTGTGTTCTTGAACAAAAATCGTGTGTTTGTGCTCATCGATTTTCATATATGGGAAAATCGAATGAAAGATATACGAAGATTTGATAATCGATGTGTGTGTTCTTAAACAAAAATCATGTGCATGTTCTTGAACAATAATCTTGTTTGATTTGATTCGAGTTCCATTTTCATTTTCCCTGATCGATGTGTGTTCTTGAACAAAAATCGATGTGTGTGTGTGTGTTCATCTTCTTTCCGGAAATAAGATGATCTTCAAGGTATATGTATGTGTGTTCTTCTTCATAGAAATAAAAAATCGATGTGTGTGTATTCGTCTTATTCATAGAAATCAAACGATCTCCAAAAGTGTTCGTATGTATGTGTTCATGCTTGAATATCAGATATGGGTTTATTGAAACATTTTCAGATGTGTTCATGCTTGATTTTGGAACGACACACATACACTCATCTGATGTGTATGTATGTGTGTGTTCATCACAGATTTGAGTTAATGAGAAAAGATAAGAAAAAGAAAGGGGAGAATAGAAGCTGAAATAGATTTGATGCATTTATGTTCATCTTCGTTGGAAAATCATGAACGTCGGAGACTCGCCGAAGAAGATGGTTGGATCATCATCGGAAGTGTCAAATACGCCGAAAACCGGCTAAACCACTGATAGCAGATCATAAGGATGTTATTTGAACAATTCAACAAATTCAATAAGAAAATATGGAAAAAAAAAACTCAATGACTAATTGTGTAGAAATCAAGAAATATATTAACTTTTTAAATCATTTCCTATTTTATAACCATATTTTATAACCATTAAAGTATCTGTTAAAAGAAGTGGTATAAAAGTTTTTTTAAAGTTTATCACAAACAAAGTCCATATTATTTTGGATTAATAATGTAAGTTGGAAATCTTTTTAAACCTTATTAACAAAAGTCAACAAGTTATATGGGCCAAAAGAATAGTGTATTTTAAATATAAAATAATGCTTTTTTTTAATATTGAAGGAATATATATTATAAGATTTTTCTAAAGTTGCGTTTATTTCGCTTCAAATTTGTCACAAACCAAGTCCATATAAACTACTATATTCTGGACCACTGTATAAGCGAGAAAAATTTTAAATCTTATTCGCAAAAATCAACAAACTATATGGATAAAAAAAATAGTGTATTTTAACTATAACATTTTTCTTTTTTGAATTATTGAAGGAATATATATTAAGATTTTTTAAAATTACACTTATTTCTTTTATTTATCCATTTATCCATTGTCAAAAGGCTATATTCCTTTTGAACGGCCACGCAAACGCGTGCGTCACGTTTTAAGACGCGCGTTTTCTTTTCGCCATTCACTGAACGAATTTTGAGTTTTAAATATGCGTTTTACACTTTCAGGGGTATTTATGTAATTATGACCAACCTTTATTCGAAAACCCACATACTGAGGGGCATTTATGGAAATATAATCTAGTATGAAAAGGATGCCCCCCTATTTAATGAGGGGTTCGGCTCCTCAATCTTCATTCATTCTCGAAGCCAAAAGAACTCATTTGTAAGCTACAGAAATTCGAATTAGGTTTTCTTCAAGACAAGTTTTCATAAAAAAAAATGGCAACTGAAGGAGTTGTGATCGGCTGCCACACCGTCGAGCAATGGGAGGAGCAGTTTCAGAAGCACGTCGGTTCTGAGAAATTGGTAACCCTAATCTACTTGTTATACTCCTCTGCTTAGAAATTAATCATGTTTTCTTATATTGATTTACATGTTATGCATTCATTTCTGTTCTTTTTCTTGAATTCGATGTCGGAAGTGTTGAATTTTATCCTTTTGAAGCTTGCCTTTAGTTTTTTTTTTTTTTTTTTTTTTAATGCATTGATTAGACTATACAATCGGTTATCGACATATACGAGTTGTTAATGAATGGGTTTTCGTTTTCCTCTTTTAATCTCTCTTCCTGTTTTTGGTCGCCTTTTGCCAATAGATTTAGATTAAGTCATTATTGATCAAATTTTTCTAGAAATTGAAATTTAGTGTACAAATCAAGATCTTGGACCTTAAATGGCATACTTCAACATTTGAATGATGTTCTTGACAGGTGGTTGTAGATTTCACAGCCTCATGGTGTGGTCCTTGCCGTGTGATTGCACCAATTTTGGCTGAATTTGCTAAAAAGAAGCCCCATGTTACCTTTCTTAAGGTAGATGTGGATGAACTTGAGGTAAATTTCCTCCTATCATCTTTTCATATTCGGATTGTTTCAGGGTTATTTTGGGTATTTAGAAATAAGTAATTCGTGTTTCTTGGTGTTACAGACCATAGCTCTGAAGTATTCGATTGAGGCAATGCCAACATTCCTGTTCATCAAGAATGGAGAGATAGTGGACAAAGTTGTGGGTGCTAAGAAAGATGATCTCCATGCTTGCATTGTTAAGCATGAAGAAGCTGCTGCTTCTTTAACTGTTTAATGTTAATGTAGAAGTCTACTACTCATGCTAAAACTCTTTAATCTTAGAAATTGTGTGTGTAAACCTTGTTTATAAATTGTGGTTTGATCTATATACATAAATGGAAGTTATTGTTGTTTCAAGATTAGGGCTTTAAGTTTAAGGGGTTTGGATTGTTTTTAGGAAATAAACTATTGGAAATGCCTTTAATTTGTCAAGAAGTAATAAAAAGTATTATAAAATGGAATAATTTTGGGATTTTATTTTAGGTATCAAGAGTTGTTCTCCCTCGTTGATGTTGAGTGAGTAGTTTAGGAATATATTGTATTTGCTGTTAAAAAAAAAACTAATGCAGTTTGTATCAAAATTGTAGTTAATGTTGTATTCAAGTTGATTACAAACATTGTTAGTTTTTTGAAATGATAACCAACTTGATAGCTCACTAGGTGTGAGATCCATATAATACACAGGTTAATTAAAAAAATTAAATATCAAAATATAAACTTTAAGTATTTTTAAATTAAAATTTTTAAACAAATACCAATGAAATGTTGAATAAGTAAGAAACTCAATTTATATTAACAAAAAAAACTATTGATGCATTTAAATAATTTTTTAGAATTGCAAATTTTAAAAACTTATTTAAATACAACATTAGATATCCTATTTCTAAATTTACCATTATTAATTTAAAATAATATATTGAATTCATCTTTGTTTTTAACTATGAACAATGCAATATATAATTGTTCATTAGTAAACATTAGTTCTTTTAAAAACAACTTCACATTCGATAGAGATTCTTAGGTACTTTTTGTTTTTTCTAAAAAACCTTTTCTAGCCTCTTATTGCTGCGCTGCACAGCACTTGGCCCTTCGCAACTGTTTGTTTTTCAGAAGACTTCTGACTTAAAAACTGTTGTGTGTGTGTTGCGTGGCGCAACACTAAACAATCTGCTTAAAACCTCTTCACGTCTTACTTTAACTTACTGCAGCAGTTTGCAGACGTTAAAAAACAAACATATTTTTTTTAAATGTCGCAGCCGTTTGTTCCACCTCTTCTGCTACAGAGGGTTGCAGAGGTGGTCCGCAGATTTCAGACATTTTCGCTTTGAAAAAACAAACAACATCTTACATTCCATTATACAAACCACACTTCTAATTAATATTTCTTAGTAACATAACTGAAAAGTCCTATCAATTGCTAAACATCGGCATCGTACATGAACAATACCAGAAGAAAAAAAGCAAGAAGTTTTTGTCACAATACCACCGCCTCCAACCATATGGTCCATATGATTCGGTTTTTTGGATACAATTTTATTTCCGATTTATTGTGATTTGCTGATTTTTAAGGATGCAAACTTATCCCAAAATGAAATCCAATTTGCATAGTAATTCGTATTAGAAAAGTAATAACGAATTTTTAATATCTACAAGTTTTAAAAGACAATTGGTACAAATTATGAGGAAAATAAAACAAAAATAAATAATAAATATAAAACTAAAGTCAATATTATAAAACCCATAGTTTAAACATTTATTGGGAAGGAAATTTTAAATATCTAGTATTTATTATTTATTTTTATACACTTTTTAGGATTTAAAGGGATTTTTCACTCAATAAGTTTTAATCAATAGAAAAAATAAAATATTAATATTATAAAAATAAAAATGGCTTGCCGGAAAATAGCAAATGACTTGTAGAGTTGTAGTTTTGGGATTACACACACCCATTCACAAAAAGAATAAAAAATGATGCAAAAAGAAATAGTTTTATTGGTTCCAAAAAAAAAAAAAAAAATTAAACCGACATAATGCTTTTATTATTGAAGATATGCATGGGTTATAAAACTTGAAAAGACAAGTAAAAGACATATATAGAATAAAAATACATTAAATTTATGAATAAAAGTTATATTTTTATATATAAGGTAAGTGTAATTGTAATTCCAAAAGATTGAAAACCGTCGGATTTAAGGGGTGTTAATTTGATTCTCAATTAATGTCTATTAATTTTATTATCTAAAAAAAACTCTTATAAAATGACAAATGGAAAAAACTTATGTGTCATTTTTAGGGAGTAAGTAAAAGGAAAATACAAATTATAAGAAAATGATAAATGACATAATACATTTTCATTTATTTATTAGAGTAGATAAGCTAAATTGTAACTTTTGCTATTAATCTAATCCGAAAATTAAATTTTATTACGAATTTGTCATACATTTAGTTTATTCATAGAATATATTTTCTAGAGTAAATTACACGAATCGTCGGTGCTAAAATGAAAGTTCAGGCTCTAATTTCAAAAATTAATTTGGATTGTTTATCGTTCGATTAAAAGTTGCATGTTTCATCCCTTGTTAGTTTGAATCTGCATGTTTCATCCCTTGCAAGACATGATATGACTATAACGTCTTTTTCAATTTATTTTTCATTTAATTTTTTATATTTTTTATTATTAAACTTTTTTAATTAAATTTAATATCTATTTCTCTTTTGCTTTGCTAGAGAAAACTTAAACACCACAACTGAAAAAATGGAGCACCACTTGTGTCATAACCCGAAAATTTTTATTGGATTAGGTCAAACACATCAACTTAAGGTTAAACTTATAGGCTTCTAGACCAAGTATACGTATAGGTTGCTTGTTAGGAAGCGAACCACGTAAGAACCAAGAGCCTAGAACAACATTTGAGCCATAAAACCTCAACAAGTGAGGTTCACAACCAAGGACCATGTTCACGGCCGTGAACCCCTCTTAGGCCGTGAACTCATGGTATATAAATGAGTTTTATCCACTTTTCCATCACTTCTTCTTCTCTTGGCCGTAAACCTCTCAAATTCTCTCAAGTATCATCCAACAAAGGCTCTCATTTCACCCCAAAAACGTAAGTGTCTCATCTCTTATTGTTGTTCCTCGAAATCCCTTACCTTTCCATCTCGATTCATCATCTTTACATCACTTTTCCTCAAAGATCTTCAAGTTTGGACCGTAAATCCTTCATGTGTTCATCATTTGGGTCGTGAACTCCCATTGGTCGTGAACCATTCTTCAGTATTGCGCTGTGAACCTCCATTGGGCCGTGAACCATTCAAGCCCAGCCGTGAACCTCCTTGATTGGGTTGTGAACACCCATTCAACCTCCTAACTTGCTTCTAACACTTCTTTGGTGAGTTATTCTTGCATCCTAGGTTGTTTCCCAATCACCTTTGTAGTTAGATTCACTAATTTCATGCATATGCGTATTGATATATGTCATTTAGGACTCGTTTGTGCATCAGGACTTCATTCGTGGAACTTATCATCCTTATTCGAATCTTCAGCTGAATCACCCGCATAAGGTGAGTTTATACCCATATAATCTATCTTTTAAATGTTTTAAATGCTTTTAAGAGGGGGGGGGGGGGGGGAATACAAGTTGAGCACAATATTATTGTGTTAATATTTTACCTGTGACAACCATCACATTAAATGATTTCTTATGCTTTTGTAAGTGATCAAATCCATTCAAAAACTCTTTTAAAAAAGATGTTACATTGTTGTTTATAAAACTCTATTTTTAAAGTACATGCATAACTCAATAGATAATCAAGTATTTTCTACAAATCAGGGACAGTTCAAAACAAACATGTAACACCCCGTTCTTCAAGTGTTAATTATGAGTCCTTGAGATTTAAGAGAAAGGTAATTCTGGTCCCTTTTGAGAAATGAGTTTCATCTGAGAAGGTTTCGGGTGGGTGTATGTGTTAGAAGTATTGGGCTTCTCGTCACCCTCGTATGAATGTAAAGTTATTTGAGAGTGGGTTTAGATTAGAGGAGTTGCGGTGCCTCGAAGTTGATCATTGTTTATAGTCCTTTGTGGAATAAGAAGGACATGGTCCCATGCATGCATGCTTTTGGTTTTGAAAGGTGGCTGGGTACGCCCAGCGTAAGCTGGATGTACGCCCAGCGTAATGGGACGGAAGGTTGCGGGTGGCCGGGTGAGTACGCCCAGCGTACCAGGGAGGTACGCCTATCGTACTCTCAAAAACCCCAAACCTTATTTTTAGGGTCAGCCACTATATAAGGAACATGTTGGTTCACCCCTCAGCCTCCTTATGCTCATCTTCAACCTCAGAGAAACCCTAATCTCGTATTCCTTCCATATTTGAGTGTGTTTGATCTTGGAAAGCTCTTGTTGGCAAAAGAAAGGCTTGAAGGAGAAAAGGGAAGTTGTCAAAGAAGAGGAAAAACGTGTGGAGCTTGTAGATCCGAAGAAATACCACCCTTTTGGAGCTGGTTTAAGGTATAAAGTTTCTTGCTTGACCTTCATATGGCATGGATCTATGTATTTTGAAGCTTTGTCTCCATTCTTGTCCCAAAAGTCTTCATCTTGTTGCATAGTTCGATTTGGTCAAGTGTATCTGTCCTTTCAGACCTTTGGAGAGGTCTTGAGTGATAAAAATGAGGTCCCAAGGGCTGTAGTTGTTCCACGTATGAGATATATATGTCTTAATGGATTAAGACCTTGGATTAAGAGCTTAAGGACGTCCCAAGTGATAATGTCTAAGACTTTATGATTTCTAATCATATTTGGCCTATGGATCTAAAGTTTGGGCTTAAGAGCTTAAGCCATTAAGTTGTTAAAAAGGACTTATTGGATCTCGCAGTTACGCCCCGCATAGCGGGCCAGTGCCCCGTTTCATTTTGGCGATCATTGCAGTACGCCCAGCGTACCAAGGAGAGTAGGCCCAACGTACTCCTCCTGTGGACTTCCTTTTGGGCTTTTGTGTTGGGACATTTGTGGGTTGTTGGTGTTTGGGCCAAGTCTGGAAATTATGAATAGAGTATTTTGGGCCCAATTAATATTATGAATATTGGATCTAGGCCCATTTGGTAAATGGGGCCAATGTTGGACTTTGTGTGAGATTTGGACTTTGGTCTTGTCCCGATAAGTGGAAGTATGTTCGACCTAATGCTTATGCTTGTTATGTTGGTTACTTCGGGATTTGCGGTGAGTTGGTGATTCGAGAGTCTGCTTCTTCCGTTCAGAGTATCGGCATTCGCGAGGTGAGTTATCCTCACTATATCAACAGGGTCTAAGGCACCAAGGCCGGCCCTTTATTGGATTAAGATTCGGATATGGTTATTATGTTATTGCTTGATATGTCTGCATCCTGGTAGCTAGGATGGTATATGCTAGAGACCTGGTTAAGGTCAGTTTCCTGATATGTAGAGTGATGCTATGCTAGTGACCAGTTAGGTCGGTAACCTGGTTAGGGTAATGATATGTTATGTGATCTGCTTGATCGGTTTGTTGACTATGATTGTTATATGATTGTATGTTATGTGCACATGGA